GGGGGGGGGTCAATCCCGTCTCTTAGTGTTTCTGTCCTTCAAGTGGATATACTGTTCAAATCATATTTAAAATTCTACACACTTCCATTCTCAATGGTAAATCGTATGGAAATAGTGAAAGTATTTGTTTCTGATACGTTGTGAAGGAGATTACGAAACCTGTTTCGTGAGGTTCAAACCTTTGTCTCTGCATTTCATTATTTAAAAAGTAAAGTTGCTCCCACATTCGATCCGGACGTTGGGGATTGCCTTGTTAGTGAGACAACATCATGGGCCTTCGGCATATTGTGGTAGGCTGGCCAGTTCCTTCCCACGCCGCCTTTACTTCGCCAACTCGAAGCCAGGTACCCATTACTGCTTTGTGGGTAGGAGGAGGCGAACAAATACCCGTATCCCAACCTAGACTCGAACCGGGACTTTCCCCTTCAGAGACGAGCGCACTAACCGTTCCGCCACTGCACCCTCATTGTATTATTAGCCAGGCGTATTAATCGAACTCATGAAGCACTTCATAGGTTTACCACTATGCAACTCGCACTATTTGTATCATATGAAATATAAAAAATAGATAGCTAGAACTAAAACTAGAATTAGACGAAAACGGAAAAGCGTTGTAGTCTTGAACAAAGAAGAAATTGATATGCCTTACTCTATTTCCAGCGAACCATTTAGTTGTATAAGGAAAAAAGAGGTGACCTTCGCAGAGTGCAATCTCCAATTCTTAACACCAAGTGTCCTCACCCCCCTCACCCCACTCCCTCCCTGGCATGAACAAGGCATTTACGCAGCAAGGACACATTTAATACTTCATGAAACGAAAGATCGATGGCTCTATTGATTTCTTTTCTATCCTACATCCAGAATTGATCAGGGCTAATTAATTATTTGCGTCATCTTGCCCCATGTGAATGCCCATCGAGCAATAAACGGTTTTAGGCCTTTTTGATCCTTCGAGACCATACCGATTTCATACACTCTAGTGTGATTTGCGAACAGCGAGAAATCTCTTAACTAAGTTAGAGAAAAGAAGTAGAGGAACGAAAAATTATGTCGATAAGGACACAGTTTCGGTGCTTGATTTACTGTCACCCTGAGACGAGGCCTGTTACTTCAGAGACCCGCTGTGTTATTTTAATGCCCTATTGAAGTTTAAGGCAACATTCTTTTCCCATTTGGCACGAGGACACTTCGGTGCAGATGGCTTTAATAAACCATTCGGTATTAGTCAACAATAAAAAAAATAATAAATGAACAAAGAAAAACTCCTTTCTATTTTATTTTTCCACTTTTCATAATCATTCAGTATTGTAAGAAAGAGTCACGTCAGCAGTTGATCATTAATACTTATAGTTCAGTGTTCCTGTATGGCTTTAACAAACCGTTTTGTATTAGTAAAACAATAAGCAAACTATTAAAGATTCCACCGTCCTTTCTATTTTTCTTTTTTTTTTTACTCTTCATCTTTGTTCAGTATTTAAAACAGAGTCGCGCCTGACATTAATTATTGTTTAGTGTTCCTAGATGGCTTTGACTAACGTTTTTGCCTTAGTATTTTTGAAACATAGGTCGAGACTAAGAAAAGAAAGCCCATTTCTCTCTGTTTTATATTTCTACTCTTCACCATTGTTCAGTATTGCAAAACGGAGTCGCGCTTGCAGTTGAGGATTTACTATGGTTCGGTGTTCCTAGATGACTTTTTAACAAACCTTTTAGTATTAGTTTTTAAAAATATATAACCCCCCAAAAATGAAACCCCCTTCTTCTCTGTTTTTATGTTTCTACTCTTCACCTTAGTAGTTCAGTATTGCAAAAAGGAGTCACGCCAGAAGTTTCACATTAATTATTGTTTAGTGTTCCTAGATGGCTTTAACTAACGTTTTTGCATTAGTATTTTTGAAACATAGGTCGAGACTAAGAAAAAAACGCCCCTTCCTCTCTGTTTTATGGTTCTACTCTTCACCATTGTTCAGTATTGCAAAACGGAGTCGCGCTTGCAGTTGAGGATTTATTATGGTTCGGTGTTCCTAGATGACTTTTTAACAAACTTTTTAGTATTAGTAAAAAAAATATATATATAACCTCCAAAAAATGAAACCCCCTTCTTCTCTGTTTTCTGTTTCTGCCCTTCACCATAGTAGTTCAGTATTGCAAAAAGGAGACGCGCCAGCCGTAGTATATTAAGTATTGTTAGTGTTCCTCGATGGCGTTGACAAACTTTTTTGTATTACTATTTATTGTGAAACATGGACTAAGAAAAGAAAGCCCCTTCCTCTTTGTTTTATATATTTTTCAACTTTTCACCACAGTTCAGTATTGTTTTTTGTTTGGTTTTTTTCCAAAAGAGTCACGACAGCAGTTGCGCATTAGTTACGGTTCAGCGTTCCTGGATGATTTCGATTTTTTGTTTCAGATTTATTGCTAACAACTTTTTTGTCAAGAAAAGAGTTAAAACAAGAGGGAAAAGTCAAGTTAAATCCCAAGGCGAAAGGCATTAATATTTCACTCTACAGTCTTCTCGTTTCTTCATTCATCTGTATTCGAGTTTCAACTATTGTGCTTTGAGCATACTTTTTGTATAAAGGGCTTTGTCTCTCTGGACACAGA